GGGGGTGCAAGGACCAGGTTGGAGCTGGAGCCACAGAAAAGGGAAGAAAATACCTAGCTCCACACAAAGTGGCAGGAGAGGCACAGGAGAAAAATTCTTGGCAGGCTTCAGAAAGGGGTGCAAGGACCAGGTTGGAGCTGGAGCCACAGAAAAGGGAAGAAAATACCTAGCTCCACTATGGGCCCTGTCTGCCAGTCCAGAGCAGCAGGGCAGCTGGTCTGCATACTGCCGTGGGCTTATGAGACAGAAATAAAAGCACAGCCAGCATCCTCTGTCACAAAAGACCTTTAATGGCCTCCTATTCATGGTTCTGTTGTTCATTTGTCCTGTTAGAGTTGAATAAACTGTGATAACTGACATAACAAGGAATGCCACAGGTACAACAGATAATCCTGGCAGGTGGTCCAGGAATGAGAGTGTCACAAAATAATCACTTAAGAGAAAGGTCATAGACCTGGAGACCCATCCCAGCCACCCGTCACTCCCCATGCCCAGGACGCACACACACCGGCTCCCATCCAGTAGCAAGAAGTAAGCCCCACAATGTCTGTAGCTAGACCTTGACACTGAGCAGACATGCCCAGGAAGACGCGCGTCCCACACTTACTCCCAGATGCTCTGCTGATGCGCACTGCAGGCCAGGCCCTCACCCCGAGTTTGTGAGGCACCCTCCTCTCATATGCCACCACCTCATATGACCACGGCTCATGCCCACCTCTCCTATGACCCTGCAATAGTCCCTGTGAGGTAGGCAGAGACTGGCACTAGCTCCATTTTACACATGGAGAAACTGAGGTCAGCGGGGCCCCCATGGACACTCAGACTAAAGGCAAAATACCAGTTGGCACTCCTTTCCCCATGCCATGAGGCTTGCTGTGGCCTGGGTTGGGTTTCACATTTCCACCTAGAATGCCCTGGTGAGGGTCCCAGGCAGAGGGGCAGGCAGACAGGGAGAGTTCTGGAGATGGCAGGCTGGGGACACAAGACCCTCCTGTTGTCCACACACTTGGTTGTCCATAAACATGAAAGTAGAGTACCAGTAGAATTACTCAAGGAGAACGTGCTGCTTCAAAGGTCTGTGGGGGAATCCTGCCCGCAGAAGGACTTTCGGCATGAAGTCCTCCCTCAGCCTGTCTTTTTTATTTGAACCTGGATTTCCAGCAATCTGGCTTTGTGTGAAGACAAATCTGACTCTAGCTTCTCCTTCTCCCATCACACTCCTGTCTTCCGACTGGCCTTGGCCAGGGTAGTAGGGTGTCGCACAGGGGTGCGGACACAAGTCCTGGGTGGAGATTGGACCGGTTTCCTTGCTCCACGGTTCCCCGTGCTGCGTGAGCCAATATCTGGGTCAAGACCCATCTTCACTGAGCACCAAGCCCCTGCTCAAATCAAACCCAGGCCAGAGCTTCAGGGTGGGTTGGATAGAAAAACCATCAGATGTGTACTTGTGCATGTATGTGTGTGTATGTTTGTGTGTAAGCTAATGCTTGGGCCTGGGTCTGTGATAGGCATGTCACAAGTCTGTGACCCCAGACCTGGGAGAGTCCAAGGTCCAATATCACTGACAATATCACCAACAATACAAAGTGTCTTTGTACTGAAATGCTGGAGCCACTCCAAAGTGAAATCGAGAATAGAACCTGTGTTTGCTGGTCCAAGATCAAACCTCAGAACAGTGGTTTCAAGTTTTTCTTCAAAACAAAGTTTGCAAGTGAAACCTCAATAGGCAAGACAGATAAAAGCAGAGTTGTTCTGGTGGAAGTGGGAACAGGGGGAGGGCTGGAGACCTACACTTTGCCTCCACCCCCACCCTTCCCACCTTAGCAGCCCCTGACAAAGCTCTGTGGAATACCAGGGGCTCCACGGCACCTGGTTTGAAAACCACTGTGTCAGAGTGTTTACAGATCATGGGTCCCAGGGGACCTGTGCTTTGACTTCCCTTTTGGGGTGACGAATTGGGACAGAATGAATGGGGGAGGATGCTCCCCCTTCCCCAGGGCCTCTCTCTGAAGCCGCATGCAGAGCCCCTGTGGTGGAGTGGTAGAGGTGGGGACCTTGCCCCAGGAGTAGGCCACTTCAGTCCAGAAGTGCAAAGGTGAGGGAGCTGCCTGGGCCAGATGACAAAGTGCCAGGCCCAGTGCAGGGCTGTGCAAATGAGGGCACGGGAGTCTGCTTTGGTCCTTACTGAGTTTAAAAAGAAAAATATCAGACCAGGCATGGGCCTGTGTCCATGAGACCCTGTAAGAGTTCAAGATTGGGGCCTAACCCCTTCCTCCTGGATGGGTGGGGAAGCTCCAGTTCCCAGTCGCTGGCAGGAGAGAAGCTGCCTCTCTGGGCTGCTGAAACCACTGGCGATGGATCAGCTGGGCTCAGTTTCTCCTGGGCCCAAAGCCCTCCCAAGTGTCACTAAGGAGCTAGGATGGCTCCGGTTGATCCTGGATGGGGCCTTATACTTTGAAGAGGAGCAGGCAATTTCTATTTCTCCTCACCCTTGGATTTTTTGATGGAGTAGTGATGGGCTCAGCTCCCTGAGCCTGGGAGCTGCTGGCTCTCCCTATCTAGTCTCAGAGCCAAGACTTCTTGGTCTGTGTGGGGTTGAGAGATGGAGGCCATGGGTGACCTCAGACCTATGAGGGTCCAAGGTGCTCTCCACCCCCAACCACTGACAATATCCATGCCTCCTCTCTGTGCTGGTTGCTGGGTTCACTATCCCAGAGGATGGCATTCTGAACAGTGTCTAAATTTTCCTCTCAGCTGGGTCACCAAAGCCAAACTGGCTGCATCTCATTCTGGGTGACATTGACCTAAGTGAGAAGGGGGACAATAGATGAAGACTGGCAGGAGGAGGGCTCAGCCCACAACACATGTCCTGTGTGATCTGGGGCCATGCCCCTGCACTTGCAGGGCCACACCCGTGCAGCCATTTGCAACTTACAGAACACCGGCCACTGCCTTTCATCTCATCCGGGCTTCACGACAATTCCTTGAGTCGGTTGGGGAAGGGATTACTGTCCCATTTTACAAATAGGGAAACTGAGCCCAGGAGATTGAGTTACTTGTTCAGCCAGCTGGTTGGTGACAGCCAGTTCACGACAATTCCTTGAGTCGGTTGGGGAAGGGATTACTGTCCCATTTTACAGATAGGGAAACTGAGCCCAGGAGATTGAGTTACTTGTTCAGCCAGCTGGTTGGTGACAGCCAGGACTGAGAGGTGGCATCGGGGACTTCCACGACAGTGTTCCTTTCACTGCACCATGTGGGAACAAGCTTGTCAGAACTCTCCCAGCTCAACCAACACCCCAGGTGAGCCCACTCTAGCCTGTCTGGGCTTTGAGGCTGAGGAGGTCCCTGGGATCCAGCCAAATAGCTCAGTCCTTCTCTTCACAGGACTGAACTCTTCTCCTCGTTGGAACGCTGAGGAAGTCCAGCCAGCCCTCTCACCCAGGGCATGCTCTTCCTTCCTGCCAGACAAGGTGCACTGGAAAGTCTCAGTGTGGGGCCGCTTGGTCAGCACAGGCCCTAAACACTTGACACAGGAAGAGCCAATACTGTGGGCTGGGGCCTAGTGAGGATCTGCCACCCCAGCTTCACTCCAAGGTCTCAGACTGGAGACTTGACTCAAGAATGGAGAGG